GCGCCCCCCCCCCCCAGCCACAACATCCCAGCTGTTTGCCCCCCGCTCAGCTGAGTCCCGCCGGCACAGCGCCTCCCTGTCTTAGCTGCGAGCACCCCCTGCAGGTCTCCCCTTGCCCCGTGAGGCCCCGCCCATTTCCTCCGAACCCCTCCCGGCGCTTTAAGGAGCGCTCATCAGCTATTCCGGAAGCAGCTGATCCGCATTCCACCACTGCCGTGCAGTGATTGGCGGAGCTGGCTACCAATCACCAGTTGCCGTAGTAACGCATCCGCCCTTCGGCTTTGCTCCCTCGCCTCCGCTTTCCGCCATTGATTGGCCAGCGCGGCGGTGACGCAGCAGTGGGGGCTTGGCTGGAGAGGAGGCAGGAGCGTGTAGAGTGAGACGCCGAAAGCGTCTGGTGTGAGGAAGAGGCGCTGCCATGACGTTCAAGCGGAGCCGAGTCCGAGACCGTTTCTACAGCACCCGCTGCTGCGGCTGCTGCCATGTCCGCACCGGAACCATCATCCTGGGGACGTGGTACATGGTAAGAGGCTTCGCCCTAGGAGGCGAGGAAGGGGGGCTCCTGGCCCCCTCGGGCTTATTGCGCATGTGTTGTGGATGGGGGTGGCGCGGCGCGGCTCGCTCGCCCTGCGCATGGAATTCGTCCGTTGCTGAACGGTCCGGTGACCCAAGAAGAATAGGCAATACTGCGCATGCGTGTCGGGGCCAGCGGCTGGTGTCCGTCCTGTGGCGCATGCGCAGTGACCGTTGTCGGAAGTTGAAATCTGAGGAGGGGGGAGCCGTTCCGTCCCCTCCTACCTTCTTTCGCTGGGGGAATCACCCCCCCCCTCCATTTTCTCTCTTGGGAGGGGCTGCGTCCTCGCCCCAGCCGTGTGGCCAATGGCCGCCCAGCCCTGGCTGCGCGTGTCCCTGCTCGGGGCGGGGCGCTCTGCACGTCGGGGCAGGCTGCGGAGTCGCTACGTGCCCCAGCGCCCCGCGATTCCAGGCCCGGCTCCCTGCTTCTGCAGGGCCCAGCTATGGCCCGCCCCCGGCTCCCCTGCCCCCACGCTGCTGCTCCCCCTCTCACAGTGGCGGGGAGGCAAGTGGCCCGGACTTGTTCTCTCCTTTGGCCTCCTGTGCTCTGCCCCGGAGGTTTGCAGGGGCGGGGACTGTTCTCCCTGCTGCCACGAGCAGCGCTGAATACTTATGACGGGGAGATGTGACCCCACCTGGGAAGGGCCAGCAGGAAGAGAGGAATGTGGGTTGCTTGAGTGTCTAAGAGCAATCTTCCCTCTATTTTTTTTTCTTCATCCATGTGTGGCATAAACTTTATGTGCACCAGTGTGTGTGCTGATGTGCACCACCAAAAGAAACACATGCTGCTGGCTGAGGGAGGCTTTGGCTCTGTGCTAATCAGCTGGGCAGCATTTAAATCTCTGCTGAGTAGCTGCCCAAGTGCTCCTCTTACAGGCATCACTAGGAGCTTGTGGGGAACACGGTGTAGGAGGTAACCTTTCAAAGCATGGGCACACTTTTAAAAGTGAATGTATATACATAAACCACCTTGGAAAAATTAGAGTTTGGGAAGGGCCCTGAAGGAGGGGAATGGTTGGTTGGTGGATAGGGTCAGCATGACAGCCAGATAAATGGGTTAAGAGAAAAGGACATGTAGGGTAGGGCTGTGAATGGGTAATTGGTTACCCAGTAAGTATCACCTTTAACCATTACCTGGGAGTAGCCCTGCATGGACTTGTGGGCTGGGTGTCTGCAGCCTCATGTTGGTCTGGAGGCTGAAACTGGGATGGGTGGGGGAGCTGCTGGCCCTATGGGAGTCCACATGGGCTGGAAGCATCTGGGCTGGAGCACCCGTCTGCCCCCATCTAATCAGTTAATGAATTAAACTTAATACAGTGAGGTAATGGTATACAATGGGTGTTCCTAAATACTAGGGTAATACTCTAGAAATGGGTGCGGATTCCAAGAGAAAATGAGACAGAAAAGGCCTCAGACAGCTCTTTGGGGAACACAGATGAAATCTAGAAGGAGAGGAGGATTAGGAATAGGTGCCAGCATATTCAATCTATTTGTTTGCCCTTGCAAACAGTTTCTGGTGCTTTTGGTAAGACAGGTAGGACCTCTGCTCTGGATATGGGCACAGTGGAGGCGGGGAAGCTGTGTCTGGAAAAAAAATTTGCTGGTGGGGTGAAAAACTACTTGCCCTTTTTGGAGTGAGTTCAATAGTCTCCTGGGAGTTGCAGACTGCGTCATTCCCCCAGGCTCTGGGCTGCGGAAGTGAAAAAGAAAGTAGCCCAGAACTGTTGGTCTGCCTTCTGAATCGTAGGGGCTGTGATGCACTGGTCTCATTGCAGGACAGTGGGAACAGCAGATAGTGTAAGTGGGTGGAGATCAGAGAGAAAATGGAGGGGGGTTGTGGAGAGAGAGAATGAGGCACTGAAAATGCAAGTAGGAGAGCGCTCCGTATACATACAATAGGGCTAAACTGACAATTTGCTTCCTGGTGTACTGTTTCTAAATTCCTAATTTTTCAGAATTTCTGGGTTGGCTTCTCCCCCTCGAGTTGATGCTCATTAAAAAAAAATGTGGTTCCATAACATGGGTCATGAGTGGAGTTTTTGGACCTTTAGATTCACAGCATCTCTGGCAGCTTAGCTAATAGAATAATTGATTGCAATAGTAGATTGTTATCCTCTGAGAGGACCAGCCCCTGGAATGGTGGGCAGTCTGTATTTTGCTGGTGGGCTTCACAACTGTTTGATAACAGCAAAGGAGTGTAGAGACTAAGGATGACTGCTTGTCTGTCAGCACAAGCCTGTGGCTGCTGTATCCCTTTTAAAAATGCAGTGGCAGCGAGAGGGTTGTCCTGAGACCCAGCGGGGGACCAGAGAATGAGCCAGTATCTTTGCATGCCGGAGGTGAACGCTTAAAGTGCCCTTCCATAACAGCTAGTTGATGGAAATTCCATCGACTACTGGACTAGTAAATTAATTGATACTTAACATCCTTAATATAAATGTTTCTATATCAGTCCACCAAAAGTTTTTGAAAGTTTGCCAGTCCATGGTATAAAAAAGGCTGGGAACCGCTGTTCTAAGTTACAAAAGGAGTAACAGAGTAACAATCACCTTAATTTGTATGAGTATTTTTAAAAAAAATTGAACACGGCATCAGTAGTATGAAATGAACATTTAGTTTAAAGCAGTTAGCTGAAATTACTAAAATGTTATAAATGTTGTTTTGCTGCATATATTCTATTCTATTATTCCAAAGTTTATTTTTAAAACAAAACATCAGAGTCTTTTTAATAGCAATCTGTTGGACTACAGATGTCATCTTAAACAGTTTTTTGGCTAAGATCTGAGTTTGCGTTCTGACTTAACACTTTTTTTCTTTCTGCTTATTTAAGAATGTTACATTAAAATGACAAAATAAATTGTCGTCCCCCCTTTTAGGGGGAAGTTCATGATTGTTATTTAAATAAAACTGTTAGACATCACTAGTCATTCATAATACTCTTTTCCTCTCCCTACATTTGTTTCCTTGCCTAGTGAAAAGATTAGCGATGGTATTCTTTAAGATTGTTTGTAGTTGCCTGCTGTGTTGCCAATAATACACAATGGTAATACACAATCCCTGTTTATCCTGGGATTTTTATTTTGACACCTTATATTTTTGCTTTAATTGATTAAAGCTTAATGCTTTAAGCGGGCGGGTCGTGCGGCCCCACTACTGACCTCAAGTGAAAATGGAGGTAGTGTCTGCTTCCTGGGATGGACAGAAGTCCCGCAGCTTAGTGCCACTTCCGGCAATTCCGGAAGTGTGCTAGCTGCTCTGCCGGGTGTACTGCAGGAGGTAGCATCGGCTCCCTGCACCGCACAGGAGGGGTGAGTCAGCCCCCGGGGCAGGCGCGCGCAGGGCTTCCCTGTGCCGGGAGGGTGGGGGTGCGTGGTCAGCCTCCTGGGCAGGTGCGCGCGGGGCTTCCCTGGGAGGAGGCAGATGCAGGGGACTCTCTGCCTCTACTGGCACCCTGCTCCCCAGACCCTACTCCCCCAGAACGCTGTCCCCACTCCCCTGTTCCCATCCACAGAACTCTGTCCCTATTCCTGTCCTCACTCCCTGAACCCTGTCCCCACTGGCACCCTGTCCCCACTGGCACCCTGTCCCCTGCTGCAGAACCCTGTCCTCTGCCCTCCCAGCATCCTGTTCCCTCTCCCCTGCCCCCAGTCGCAGAACTCTGTCCCCACAAAATGTATAATTATATATGCTTCATTTTAGATTTAAATAGCATGAATAAAAAACAGACCATTATTTCATAACTATAAACATGATTTTAATTTTATATATCGCATAATTTAAAAATAAACTGTTTATCAGAGTGTGTAAGTAAGGGCTGGGGATAGCAAGTGATGGACAGGAAGAGAATAGAGAGGGCGGGGCTTCAAGGAAGGGGGGGGCAGTAGATCTTCGCCTGTTTGGAGATTTAAAAAGTGATCTTGGGTGTAAAAAGGTTGGAGACCACTGCTTTACCTACTTCTTACGTTGTAAACGCCTCTCTGCCATGTACACTTTTCTTAACAAATCTAGTTTAACTGATGCCTTTTTTAAGATTTGTTCTCTTGTCAGTTCATTTTAAAACTGGCATTTTAATTGTTGAGGGGGTGGATGGAAAATGATAGATCTCAAATAGTCTGCAATCACTAAAGTATTGTATCTTTTGTAATGAAATTTGGGGCTGTGGAAGGAAAAGTATTAATATTCAACATTTCATTATCTGGGAAATCTATATGCCAAGCTTTGCCCTGATAGAAATAACTGAAATAAGCGTTTGATTAGGACCACATATACACAGCTGCTGTATTAAACGTTTCTGTCTTTATACTTCCTCAATTGTAGTAATGAGGAATCAATCTCTTTCTCTCTTCGCTGGTAGTTTAGAGCTCTGGTGTCCATCTAGTTCTGAAGCTGTAGCCACAATAGCAAACTAGTCATACTTAACCGGCTAAATAACCACATGTGGCTATATGCTAGTGTGTTGAACACCACAGGTCTAGAGCCTAGAAGTTATTTTAGGGAGTCTCGGGCCTAACCAGTATTTCTATATATCAGAAACAAATACATTGCTTGAAAGCAGAATAAATTAATCTTTTCATGTTCAAACACTGAAAATATCAACTGTCTAAAGTCTAGTTTTAAAATGTACTATTTTCAACAACTATTTGCTTCATTAGAAACTGGGGCCAAGATCCTCAGTTATTCAGTTTCCTAGCTTACATGAAATCCATGTAAGCTAGAAGCCTGAATTCCTTTGGAAAATCTAGGTCTGCATTCTCCTATACACCACAGAGTTAGGCATCTAATAGGGATGTAAAGGAGTAGTCGACAGGATAGTTGACTAGTCGCTTCCCTTTCTTTGCTGCCTTTATCACAGAGAGGCAGCAAGGGGCTGGGGGAGAATAGGGAGGTACTTAAGTGGCAGCACTGCACGGAGCCTGGGGTCAGCTGCTCTGTGTGGCGCTGCTGCTTTGA